AATGTGGAATGAGAGCGTCGAGAAAGAGAAAATATGGTTGGCAGGTTAACTTTTTATTTTTCGCGCGTCAACCTTTTCACTTTGGCGCGTAGATGTTTTCACTTGACAAGTTGTTTGACAGCTAGCAAAAAGATTGGGCAGACTACAGAAGACGTACCTACACTTTATGCAATTTTTTTTAAATTATGCTAATAAGCATTCAAAAACGGTACTAATCGTACTGGATTCGAACCAGCGATCTCTCACATTGCTGACATTGTACATATCCACTGAACCATATGGGTAGTCATGCAAATGAAGATTTCTTTTCATATTTAGCTTTATTGCAAATTAGTGTTTGCGAGAAAAGAGAATATAACAACTTGTAATTGTGGAAATTAATCAAACATGAGTTGGTTACACCAAAATAAGTATAAATATTTGTTGAGACATTTATTCTCTCAATTTAAAATATTGAGACAAATATTGATACAAATATTTGATACTTATTTAGGTGTAAGAACTTGTGTTTGACCAACTTCCACCATTGCAAGTTGTTAAAATAATGAAATAAATATACTGGTATCATTGGATATTTGATTTAATTGTGAAACTTTCTAACAAAATGTTAACTGCTGACTTGGAACCCTCAATCAACAATTCCGCAGACACAGTATAAATTCCACAACACCACAGAAGATATTCGTCTGTTGCCTGAATTGTTTTTGTAATATAGGGAACGCCATCGACACTTCAACAAAATTTACCTTGACTTGGGTCTTGTTTATCTCTTGTCACAATCTGGAAACTGTTGAACAAATTGCGCGTCGTCCAGTTTAAGACGTAAGTTATTTTATTATTCATTCATTCAGTTTTGCATGGTGGAGTTTTGTGAGGTTTATTATTTTTTCGCAACGTTCTTTGTTTACTTGTTACGGTTTGAGGGATTTTAGTTTACATGTATTTGATTTACGTTTTCATGGTAGCTCTGAGCGAGACTCGAACCCACTGTCTTTTCAAGCTAATTTTGTTTTATTTTGATGGTACGTTTGTGTACCACGCCACGACGTTGGTCGTTGAGTGGTGTTCATTTTTCTATCTACTCCAGTGTTCTGATGAGTTGGTTGAATGGGAAAGCCAAAACGATTGCTGGTTTCTGATTGCTTCGGTTCTGGTGAGTGTGTATCTAGTGTGATTCAAACCCATGTCGTTTGTATTGGGCGTTTTTTTTATTTCCCATGTTGGCTACGCCGTGATATGCAACCACTTCCCCGTTTTATTGTGATTTTGTGAGTGTTTAATGATGTCTTCCTCACCCGTCACGCCATGACCCAGTTTCAACCACACGGCCATTTTGCAACACAGTGCGTGACCCTCGGCGTGACCCGACTGACTATATGATCGTTCTGTTCAACTGTTAAGCTAGGATTTATTACCGTTAATATCATTATATTGTCACGTGATTTGCTTTACCTTATGTGTAATGTCTTAAGTATCTTTATTGTAATTTGTATATACCAATTCGTATATACCGAGGGGCAGAGCTCCAGAAGGAGTACCTACACTTTATGCAAATTTTTTTTAAATTATGCTAATTTATTCATGACGTAGCAGTTTCTGTGCTTCTGTTGTTGCACGTGACCTACAGCTGTCAACTGTGTTCGTTCTTCGACTGTGTTCGTTCTTCGACGACTTCGACTGGCTTCCATGTGGGGTAGTATTCTTGTGTTTTGTTTGACTTGAGTTTTTGAATCGGCTGTTTATGTTTTTAACGTCTTTCATGTCTTTT